GGGAATGTCTTCGAGGTGGGGAAGAGAAGAGAGAGAGATTGGAAGAAGAACGAAGAGGCTGGAGAGAGGTAGAAGAGGGAAGTGGTCCCAGGTGAGATGGAAGAGGTGAGCAGGGCTTTCACAAAACAGGCCCTGGTAGACCATGGTGAGGAACTGGATTTTATTGGGAAGTGGGGTGGGGACAGTGTCCATGATCCCCCTGCCTTTTGGGATCCCTCTGGATGGAGGAGGAAACTCAGCAGCCTCTCTCTCCAGCAAAACAACAATTTGACTGGTGGAAATATTCAAAAACAATCATTCAACGTCTCTGGAAATGGTCCTAAGGGCATACAGCAAACAGGAAAAAAAAAAAAAGTTCATTCAAGAAAACCTACTAAGCCTGTAAAAGCAGCATTCTGTGCTTTTGAGCCAGGACCCTGCATTCCTCCAGCCCCAGCGCCGTTGTCTCTATCCTGTCCTCCTGGGAACCCCATTATGCATAAGCTAATATGTTTGATGGTGTCCTTTGGCTCTCTGAAGATCTGTTCATTTTCTTCCATCATTTTTATCTCTGTTCCTCAGACTGGAAATTCTCAATTGACCTGTCTTTAAATTTGCTGATTCTTTCTCCTGCCAGCTCAAATGTGCTGCTGAGCCCATCTAGTGAATTTTTTATTTTGGTTATTGTATTTTTCACCTCCAGCTTTCCGTTAGGAACTTTTTATGATTTCTACCTCTTTATTGGGGCTCTCTCTTTGCTGAGACATTCTTATCATACCCTTCCTATAATTCTGTAAATATGGTTTCCTTTAGTTCTTTGAACATATTTATGGTAGACGCTTTCAACTCTTTGTCCACTAATCCACCATCTGGGCCCTTTCAAAGGTAGTTCCTTTCCTTCCTATTTTGGAACCATGCTTTCCTGTTTCTTTGTGCGTCTCATATTTTTCTGTTGAAAACTTAACATTTAAAACAATATAATATAGCAACTCTGGAAATCAGATCCCCCTTCCCACCCTGGTGTTTGACATTCCTATTTTTTGTTTGTTTGGTGAGCTTTCTGGATTAATTCTGTAAAGTCTGTATTCTTTGTCGTGGGCAGCCACTGAAGCGTTTGTTCAGTTATCTTAGTGGTCAGGTAATGATTTGGAGTATGCTTCAACATTCAAGCAGGCATTTTAAAACTCTGCTTTAGTCCTCAAGGTCTGCCAGAGGTGAGATTTGAGGGTCTTCTCAGGTCTTTCTTGGGCACATACACATGACCCTCTTGATTGTCAGGAGTATGCTGGGAGTTTTTCAAAGCCTCCTATGGCTGTCTCATTCCCTAGTTCTTTTATCTCATTCTCTAGGTAGTCCTTTTATCTCATTCTCTAGTTAGTCCTTTTAAGGTTTTGTTTGTGTTTTGTTTTGTTTTGTTTTGTTTTGATCTCTTGTTAGTCCCACCTGTAAGGCTGTCTCAGGCAGTTGCAATATTAAACAATTGCTACTGATTGTTTTGGGCAGATGTCTTGTGGATAGGGCTACCCACAGGGACACTGGCAAACTCTTAGATCAAATAAAGACATCTTTTTTTTTTAAGATTTTTATTGGGGAATTGGGGGGATGAGAACAGCGCTGGGGAACTGGGGGAAGGGGAACAGACAAGCCGCTGTCGTTTTGTTCTTCAGTCTAGTTGTGGAGGATGCCGCTTCACTGGCCCAAGTTGGCACCATCATTGCGCTCTTCCCAGGCGAGGCAG